AATTTTAATAATTAAACATATCTTTTTTTTTATTTATCAAAAAATAATAATTATTTTTTAATTTTTTGCTATAAAAATTATAATTGTTACGGTCCCTGGTATTGATTAATATTTTTTAGACAGTTGCATGGAAGGCAAATGCATTTCCTTAAACTCTCTATCACACTCACACTCTCTCTCTCTCACTCTCTTTATCCTTCTCCCTCTCACTCATTCTCTCTTTAGTAGCCATTTGAAGCAAGCTCAGTACATCTATCACAAACGAACTTTCAGCTTATCAAATCTGAGCAAATGCAATGCCAATTTTAATATACACACATACATATGTGTGCATGTGAAGACGAATGTCTAGCCAACACTCACATAAGTATGTCGGAGCCGAACTCGAGTTGCTGTTGTGTGCACTTTGGTCACATAACATGCGGCAAGCGCCATGTCCAGGCCATTTAAAGCGAGGCGAAGCCAATCGAATCTGACGACAATCCAAATGGAAGATGTGCCTAGCTGTGCCCGCTGCTGATGTAATCGCGTCCATAAACCGAGGAGCCACCAATAACAAACAATTACACCGGCCGCATCGGCAGACGCCATCAAAGCTGCCAAGTTGCACGGCTGCACCCAGGTCGTCGTCGCCGTCGCCGTCGCCGTTGGCGTCGTCGCATCTCTGCGAGGCGATGCTGCAAAATTATGATTTGTATGGCAGTGTGTTTGTTTGTTGTTAGATTTGAAAGTCGGCAACTGTGCAATTTATGCAAGTAGGAAGCGTTGCACAGTCGCCGCCAACTGCAGCGGCAGCGGCAACAACAGCAGCAGCAACAGCAACAACAACAACAAAAACTGTGGCATTAAGAGGTCGCATTTTGGCTGTTAATGAAGCTGACTGCTGACTGCTGGCTGCCACTGTTGAGGGCCCAATTGTTGCATCGTCTGCTGCGGTTTGCCTGCCAACCAATTATTTACGAAAATATATATGAAGAAGGAGGATGTTCCAGCTGCCCAGCTTCCGCTCATCAGCTCTTTAAAGACCATGTTTATAATAACCAGGTAGTTAACTGGACTGACTGTGGCATTAGCATTGCCCTCGTACCGCCGTCATTTCCTGCTTTTAGCACACTCAACTTCTCGTTAATATCGATAGACAATCGGCCATGAAACCTTTCTCTGCGCTTCTCATAATGGAAATCTCCCTGCTAAGAAGAACTCTACATGCCTCAGCTCTTATTGTCGACCATGCATATTCCTCCCTAAAGCTTCCTTAACTTGTCCCATTATCAGATACCTACTACAAGATAATTATAATTATACAAACTCTATGCCGTTTGGAGCTGGTAAGACAAAGAGTCTTCCCCTTTTTTTTTTCTCTCATTCGAAATTCGTGTGTATAGCAAGTAGGAGCCCGCAGCCATGTAGACAAGACTCTACTTAAAATGTAAATGTACTTTCCAATCATGTGATATAAGTGTTCCTCGCTATCAAAATAGCATTTAAGCTACCATCTAAATTGCCCGGTTTCAACAGGCCACAGCACAGGCCGAGTGAAACGGGTTTTTGCCGCGCAACTAACCCATTATCTTTTCCAAACCCAGCTAATTTGCAGCTAATTGAATTACTTAGTTAACAAAGTGTTCGACATTTAGTGAAACTAACTACTTGAAATGGGCGTCCATTTGCAAAGCTTCGCTTTCGCAGTATTTATGTGCGTCACTTGGCGAATTTCGTAGCTCGCAATTATTTTAATTTAGATTGCTGACGGACGGGACGAGCAATGCATAACAACAATTTCTTGACTATTTATTAGAGTTGCCTGGCGGGCAACTGAACAAATCGACAAATGGACAAATGGCTAGACGCCTCTAGACACAATCTATGTATCTCGTTTGACCTTGCGCTGCCCAAGGGCCCGCTCCAGATGCTCCGTACTATTCAAATGCATGCCCATCAGCATAATAGGGAACTCACCTTCGGATCGTATCGAATCGAATCAAATGCAGGTCGATTGTTGTCGCTGTACAATAAAAACTTATTTTTCCTCTAATTTATTATGTTATTTATATTATTTATTTGTACACCCTACTTCAATGGGGTATATACGCTGTGACATTGCATGGGCGTGGCAGATTACAGAAAATATACATATATGAGCTGGCTCGATCGACTTCGACTTCGATTCGACTTTCTATAGACTTCGCTATTTTAATTTGTAATATTCATAAATATACGTCTAATACAAATAGAGATTGGGTTTACGACGAGTTGAAATTATAGCTAAGAAATAGAGAGGTAAATTCGAATCAATCAAGCCGATTAGAGAATTCGTCTCTTGAGCCATTTACAGTGAGTCACATTCATATATCCCCCTTTTTTACTGTATGTGCCCAGAAAGTTAGGGCAACTACTAGTCGCCATTGGCGATCGTCGAGTTCCTTTTGGCTGCTGACTAGCGGTTTAAGCTGCATGGACAAAGCCCACGTTAACCTTCTGCAAATGGGCGAGTAAGCTGCATTATCATTGCCGATTATTATGACATTTCGTATTATTACAAGGGAGCGACGACGACGACGAGCGCATCTCCGGCCAAGTGGTAAAAGCACAATAAATAATCGTGGTAATCATAATAATGATAAAAGTGACGCCTCGCTTCATCTGGCCGACTCACTGATATCGCTGTGGGCCATGCGGGGCTTACTTGATGGCTATGTGGCAACAGGGCAGCCCACTTGCTTGCTGGCCAACATCTCAATTGCTGTTTATTTGCCTATCGGGGCGATCAGGGCGAACGCCAACTGAAATTAAAAAGCTCGAAAAGAGCGAAAA